TGATAGGGTAAAAGTGGAAAAGGATGTTATAATATGGCATGCCCAGGGTTTGTTCAAGTATCGAATGTGGTTCCCATAGTCAAACCCCTGTACCTTGAGGGAGGGGACTCTGCGTCGTTGCAGTGGGCCATCCATCAAGTAAGTTTCTAATTTTCTACACTTTATTCGTTTTTTAATAATATGTTTTGAAGATTTTTTTTGTTTGTTTCAATAATTTCTTAAGTTTCTAGGCAATATTTTCATGTCATTCTTACTTAGTAGTGAAGGAATTATGATTCTTAAAGGCTAACCATTAATAAAATCAAATAAGTGATCAATTTATTAAAACTATAGCATTTTTAGTCCAAACACTTTGCCTTTCAAGTAATGTGATTAGCGCATTATTTTACTATAAATTTTTATTCACAAATGACTTTTGTTTGCCCTTAAAAAAGGATGAACAAACAAGAAACTGGTGGGTTATACAAATGTCGCCTTATACATACATCGGTTATTGGCCCAAGGAGCTATTTCACCTTATGGATAATGGTGCAACTATGGTTGGAGTTGGAGGTGTAGTTCAGGCTTCACATTCTGGTTTAAGCCCTCCAATGGGTAATGGTAAATTTCCGGCAAAAGGTCCATTGAGATCAGCCATGTTTTCAAATGTTGATGTCTTGTATTCTAAGTATGAGAAAGGTAAAATCAATGCTTTTCCTATAGAGGAGATGCTAGACAGTAGATGTTATGGGCTACGAATTGGTAAGAGAGTTCGATTTTGGACTAGTCCACTCGGATTCTTTTTCAATTATGGTGGTCCGGGAGGAATCTCTTGTGGAGTTTGATATTTGCGAGTATAAGTTTTAAACTTGTGTAGATTGTACACAAAAACCGAAAATATTTTAAGAATAATCGACATGTTTTTAACTAATACCAAGTCTAATATTAAACTCGAAGCAACGATCCTGATATCATGATATCCTGATGATGAAAATTTGCATGATGTGTTTGTAACCTATTTATAAGCCGTAATTTTTTAGAGTCGATGGATAATTCCAAGCTACACTAGCTCTTAAAAGGTTTAGAATTTTCAAAAAATGATAATTGTTTGTTTTCGGTATCATTCTCAATTGTGATTGAGTATTTGAGTTGACTATGGTCTATCGAAAATATATCCTAATAAAATTCGTTACGAGAGTTAATAATATACTAGTTCTTAGTAAATTGGAGGAAACTACTTTAATGCGATCTTTGAACAAATTAGTAGATTGTTCAACATGTCAACACATATAGCTACATAATGATGACATACACACACCTTCATGATGGTGATTCATGATGATAATCCCGTCTTTCATTCTCGGATGAAACACATTGCTATTGACTATCACTTTGTTCGCGAATTGGTTCAACAAGGTTATATCCAAGTCTCACATATCACAACCACTGACCAGTTGGCCGATGCTCTCACAACGCCGCTTCCACGTGCACGTTTCCTTGATCTTGCTGTCAAGATTGGAGTCTCCTAACCGGGCCTTGTGGCCTAGTGGTAAAGGGGTCACAGCTGTGACTTCCGCCACCAGGGTTCGAGGCACGGCCACTGGCAGGTTTACATAGTGGAATTGCCAGCCTCGTGGGATTAGTCCTCCTTCCTAGGAAGCCTTTGGGAGACCCGCGGTTATTCAAAAAAAAAGATTGGAGTCTCCTCCGGTACTCCATCTTGAGGAGGCGTGTTAGAATACTAGGATATGCTCAAAAATATTCTTTTATAGATTTAGTCATATCTCTTGGATATACTCAAATCTATCATACTATGTGTATAAATACTTGTACATCGTTTCATTATCAATATACTCAATACACTCAAACATCTATAGATTCAACGTTTTGAAGAAAATTTATCTATAGTCATTCATCTCTCATAAATTCTCGGTTAATAGTTGAATAAAATTGAATTCTCCTTTAATTAATAACAAACCAACTTATTCTAGATTTTTTTTAATTTAAAATGGATATTATGATTCAACGATTTTTTTTCGTAATCCATATTGATTATGTAAATTTAACTACCGAAATTTAATCAACAACACCATTATGCATTTTAAATAAATGTTTTATGTCCGATTATTTAGCCAAAGCCAACTCATGACGGCTAGGGTTTTTCGTTCACCTTTTACGACTTTTATTTTTAAAGTTTATTTTAATAAAATATCCAATTTTACATTTTTTAACCAATCACATGAAAATAAGATTTCTTCAATTTCAAATTGGAAAAATCGAAAGCCGAAAAATGTAGAATTCATAAGTAGAAAAAGAGAATTTTACATTTTACTTGTTTTTTTTTTTTTGGCAAGGTACATTTTACTTGTTTATCACCCAAAAAAAGGCCCAAAACGCGTAAGGGCAAATTAGTAAAAACCAGAACCACAAAGAGGATGCGAAAACCCTAGACACCTCGTAGCTATAAGTACCCTCGAGTCGACCAGAATTAGGGTGCGCTCTCATATTTCTCACACTTTCGTAGCCGCAAGCCTCCTCTCAGATTCTTATTTGCAGGTTCGAAATTTCTCTCTTTAGTGTCTTCGATCTTCATCTTCTTATGATTCTTGTTCCTGTTTAGGGTTTAGATTCTTACTTTTAGCTGTATGTTGACTGTTATTATCGCTTATTCTTTGCTGTTGCTACACTGCTTTTGATGATTCTCGAGTTTTAGATCCGTTTATTCATCGATCTATATTACTTCCTTTGAATCTGATGGAGAATCTTCTTGTATATTGATAGCGTTTACTTTTCATATCGTCTTCGCATGTTGTTATAGCTTATTATCATGCTGATCTGTATCTGCTCTGGCTATAGTTGATTTTGATGTATTTCTTTGGTGATGTTCCTGAGATTTGTTATATTTGATGTCTGTTGGTTAGATTCAATAGCTCTATTGGTGATATGTGGTTTTGTTTTAATGGATCTGTGTTTGTTTGTACTGTTGAGTGTTTTAGTAATTGTATAGTTGATGATTAATGTATTTTTGTTGATTCTGATGTTTCGATTGTTTGTTTTGTTTTGACAGCTATGGGTAAAGAGAAGTTTCACATTAACATTGTGGTCATTGGCCATGTCGACTCTGGAAAATCGACCACAACTGGTCACTTGATCTACAAGCTTGGTGGTATTGACAAGCGTGTCATCGAGAGGTTCGAGAAGGAAGCTGCTGAGATGAACAAGAGGTCCTTCAAATACGCATGGGTGTTGGACAAACTTAAGGCCGAGCGTGAGCGTGGTATCACCATCGATATTGCTCTCTGGAAGTTCGAGACCACCAAGTACTACTGCACAGTCATTGATGCCCCTGGACATCGTGATTTCATCAAGAACATGATTACTGGTACCTCCCAGGCTGATTGTGCTGTTCTTATCATTGACTCCACCACTGGAGGTTTTGAAGCTGGTATCTCTAAGGATGGACAGACCCGTGAGCACGCTCTTCTTGCTTTCACCCTTGGTGTCAAGCAGATGATTTGTTGCTGTAACAAGGTGAACTAACCTTTTATGTTATTTATTTTTATGCTATTGTGATTTATTGACTCTTTTGATTTGATGCTAACATATATTATACTGTTGTCTTTCTAACAGATGGATGCCACTACCCCCAAATACTCCAAGGCCAGGTACGATGAAATTATCAAGGAGGTGTCTTCATACCTGAAGAAGGTTGGATACAACCCTGACAAAATCCCATTTGTTCCCATCTCTGGATTCGAGGGAGACAACATGATTGAGAGGTCCACCAACCTTGACTGGTACAAGGGACCAACTCTCCTTGAGGCTCTTGACCAGATCAACGAGCCCAAGAGGCCATCAGACAAGCCCCTTCGTCTCCCACTTCAGGATGTCTACAAGATTGGTGGTATTGGAACGGTGCCAGTGGGACGTGTTGAGACTGGTATGATCAAGCCTGGTATGGTTGTTACCTTTGCTCCCACAGGGTTGACCACTGAGGTTAAGTCTGTTGAGATGCACCACGAGTCTCTTCTTGAGGCACTTCCCGGTGACAATGTTGGATTCAATGTCAAGAATGTTGCTGTCAAGGATCTCAAGAGAGGATACGTTGCCTCTAACTCCAAGGATGACCCAGCTAAGGGTGCTGCCAACTTCACCTCCCAGGTTATCATCATGAACCACCCTGGTCAGATTGGTAACGGTTATGCCCCAGTTCTCGATTGCCACACCTCTCACATTGCAGTCAAGTTCTCTGAGATCTTGACCAAGATTGACAGGCGTTCTGGTAAGGAGATTGAGAAGGAGCCCAAGTTTTTGAAGAATGGTGACGCTGGTATGGTTAAGATGACCCCAACCAAGCCCATGGTTGTTGAGACTTTCTCCGAGTACCCACCATTGGGACGTTTTGCTGTTAGGGACATGAGGCAGACCGTGGCTGTTGGAGTTATCAAGAGCGTGGACAAGAAGGACCCAACTGGAGCCAAGGTCACCAAGGCTGCAGTCAAGAAGGGAGCTAAATGATGAGACTTTCGTTATGATGGACTCTCTTATGGTTTTCTTTGGTTCTTAAAACTTTGATGGCATTTGAGCCTTTTTTTTTCTCTTTATTTCTGTGACTTTCTTCTCTCTTCCTCCTTTTTGGATATCTCTGAGACTTTTTATTATGGTTTTCAATTATGCAGTTTCCGGATAATTTTGCTTACAAGTTTATTTAGGGTTTGTGTTACAAAATTATTGTCTTTGTCCTTTAATGCCTTGTTTTTTCCTTCGTACACCTTCAATCAGAGATCGCATCTTAAGTCTGCGTTTTTTGACCAATAGTTGTCTGGAAGTAAACAGCTGTGTTTTCCAAGTACTGGGTTTGATTTCTTTAGGAACTTGTTCTCTGATCCTGAAGGCCAGAACTATCTAATTAAAGAAATTTGAAAGCACTTTATGTATTTCTTCATTCTTAAGGGAGAACCTAAAAGTGCTTTATAATTCTTTATATGATAATGATATCCAAGAAGCAGAGATGCAAAGACTATCCAAATAGTAATTATCAAGCAAAAAAGCTATAAGTAAAAACCAAATTACAAGGATAAGGCCAAAAGAACATCACGCCAACGACAAATGAACGTGTTAACAACAACAATAAAAAACATCCTGAATAACTTAAATACTTTCCAGCTAAGGATTTTGATCTGCAGTTCTACAAGAAACATTTAACTCAGTGAGATCTAAATGAAAAGGCTTTTGAATTTCTTTTACACTAAGCAGCTTTAGCTGCGTGAGAAGGAAAGCAACTTGAGCCTACTAGATAGATCTTGTAATAAGAGGAAACCACTAAGCAGCTTTGGCTGTGTGAGAAGAAAAGCTCCACAAGCCTAGATCTTGTAGTAAATCAACTAGATCTCTAACATCTTTATTCTCTCTCATCTCTTGAAGCCTCTCCGCATCATCTTCACCATGGCTCATGCACTCATGTTTACCTCCTGATCTCCTTTTCCGCTGTATCACCTTCCTTCTCTTGTCATGATCTGCCATTCTTCAACATCGAGAGAGAGAAATAAACAAGTCAAGTAAACAGAGAAGATCTCAAGAGAGAGAGAGAGAATAAATGAAACAACAGAGACTTATTACTCTTTGGAGAGACTTAATTGCTGAGTGATCCCAGAGATGCACAGAGGGAAGCCATAATTCCCACTAAGAGTTGTTGACAGCATTTCTTTCTTGTGTAGTGTGAGTGGATTTTTCAGAATTTTGGATCTTGTTGTTAAGAAAAAAAGACAAGATCTTGAATTGGTAATGGGTTAAAGAGGGTCTAGATGTATACTAGTACCATGTAATTAATATATGAGAGAAAGATTTTTTTGTCCTGTGGTGTGTTGTGCATTTGATGTTTGGAGAGAGTAGTAGGTAATAATAGGTATGGCCTCTTCTTGTTCTCCTATCACAATGCATTAATCAACTTTATAGAAGACGAAGAAGAAAAAAAAGTACTGTGTCTATGAATTGAAAAGATATATAATGAAGAAAATACTTGTGATCCTGAATAATAGTGAAAATAAATTTTGGTTTCATTTTGCTTTACCTTTTTTCCTCCGCATGATAAATAAAGACAACTCTAGCCATTTGGATTGATAAAAGGCTTTTTTTCAGTTTATCTTTTTCAGCAAGAATAAATGCAGCCTCTCATCTGTTAAATCATACTATCAAGTCTTCTCAACTTTGTTTTCTAAACCAACTTGCTCAATAAAGTAATTCCCACCTAAGCTTCTGTATTAAGCAGGGTCTTAAAACAGTGATGCAAGATTTAACATCACTTTCACCATTTATTACATAGTGAGACAAAAGGCATTTACTTTTGGAATTGATTATTTGAACCAATCTTGCAATGGTTTGCATAAAACTTAAATCCAACCATCATTAGTGTTTTGTTGAGATTTATGCATATAATTAGAAATATTAGATCCTAGTTGATAATGGATAAGTGTCACAAGAATCTACTCGCGCAACAAAGTGACAATCCAGGAGCTGTTCATAGTACATAGTACCAACATTATACAAGGGACTAGTTATGGATAAGTACCAACAAAAATTCTCCACTGTCTATGAGCATGAATATATGTAACATCTGGGTATAGATGCAAAATCAAGAGCTCAAATCAACTACAGAGTATACGCACACAAAGCAAATAAATGTAAAATCTTGGAGATGAGGGTAAGCCAAATCATTAGAGATGACGTTAACACGATGACCTCACTTGGGATAATAATCCTGATAATCATTTGATTATAGCCACATAAAAAGCAGCAAACTAAATGACAATTAAGATTTAAGAGCAATGATAGTGACTGTGTAAATTAAGTCCACTCTTCTTTGACCCTTAACGTTTATATATATATATATATATATATATATATATATATATATATATATATATATATCTGGATGAGGTGAATCTAATAGAGTGATTAACACATATAGAACCATCATCATACAAGTGGTCTTGCTTCTTCTATGGTTTTGAAACTGCAAACAAAGATTTGCTTCGCAGGAGAGATAGCGCCACCACCTCTTCTAAGAAGTTAACCAGTGGTGACGGTATCTCTCCTACGTAGCAATCCTTATATATGCATCTAATGAAGAGATAAGCGGCTCGAAATTTAAAGGTATTTTTGGTTATTATATCATTACCTCTCTTTCTAACAAAGTGATGCATACTATTTCAAGTCACAATCTATATCATACAATTTCTTCATCTATCAGATCCCATCCATAAACTATTCTCAACTTACATTGCAATACCACTAAAACATGAAACTGCTCATTAGAGGACCTTGGTTTGAGCCTCTAGATCGTCTTCTCTTACCTACAAGGCTACAATGATAATCTGTTCCAAGACAGGTTCTTGCTCTTTGCTCAAAGATGTTTTGGTCTTTTAAAAGTTTTCTCAGCAGCAAGGAGCTCAAACGATTAGCAGCACATCATCAGCCTGAAAGTTTCAAGAAAAGCTTATCAGTTTATGAGTTGTGTTTGCAGACTTCCGAGAAGTTTGGTTTGATTCTCACCCACAAGAAAAATGTCCTTTCTTTACTTTCTGATTTGTTTGTTTGCCTTTGACAAGAGACCTATAAAAATGTCAAGACGAAAAGGTTGACAAATCTACGAAAACTATCAACATCATGAACTCAAAAGATCTCTCATTATTGTTAATTAGTTTCAACTAGTAGTATACCCGGTGCATGCACCGGGAAAACATTTTTTTTTTCTAGCTTCATTTGATTGTATTTATTAAAGTTGAATCAATCTTTATTAATTTATTAAAATTCAGTTGATGATATAAATTCACTCTTTTAAAAATGGACACAATTGTACGAAAATAATGTGATAAGTTTTGTTGTGATCGATCGCATCACCGTTACGACCAATAATAACAACATTTAGAAGTAACCAAAATTTATCTGCTATAAATAAATGGAAAATATGAGTTTCTAGTTGTATTCATATCTGAGTGGAGTAATTTGCAAGAATTATTGTGTGTAACCACTTACGTACATCGCGCATGTATTATGTCTATCGCTTACTTAACACCGGCTCTTTACAATGTCAATGTTGTGCGTTTTATAGCCTCTAGCTTCTTGTAGGAATATAGCGTGTAAGAACCTTTTTTATTGATGATCATATAGTAGGTAAAACTTCTTAAACTTTGAATAGACTACAATGTAGAATCTAATAATATTTATAAAAAAAACATTGTTAAGCAAAACCAAAATCTCTATAATCCTTTTGCACATAGAAAAAATAACTTGCTTTCGCACATATTTCATTAACTCAACATTTTCTCCTCATCACGTAACTTATTCTTATTACTCGATTATCTCTCCCTCGGTTGTAGAAACTCTTCTTGAAGCTTGAAGAGAGAAGTAGTAACTATTATTAACTGAAAGAAACTCTTCCTCTCTTCAAAGATAAGTATTCGTTGTTCTTAATCTTCAAGTTTCATCTTTGTCACGATCCAAGCATAGAATGATAATATTACAATATTTTTCTTTGAAGAGCGAGCGATCACATTATATCATGGTAGAATAATTTATCTGACACCTTCTTATTGATTGTTGGTTTGTTGAACCTCCACTATAACAAAAAGAGATGCAAAGGGGGACATTTAACAGAGGATAAGTTAAGATAGTGAAATACAAAAGACATAAATTGATCCGAAGAGCAACAGATATAGTACCATTGAAAGATCTCTGTCTTCACCATGTCAACCTTTGATGATTTCGCTGGAACCACCTACCCGTTGTGCGCCATATCTAACCATGATCCATGTGCCTTGTGACTCCTGATGAAATTAATCCATTAGAAAAGGTTGAGAATGAAAAAATCACCCAAATGAATAGAACCGAATCCCACCTTTTTACTTGGAGATTCATGAGAATTGACTGAGAAATAAAAGCCCTAAAAGGATTTGGAATCCATATATCTGTTTTGATCTTATTTAAGAGCCATAGGATTGTTGTGTATCTCTCGAGAGTTTTATAGTTGAGAAAATAACGTGTTTTTGAGATAGAGGAGAAGTGGGGATCGTGGATTGAAGAGAAAAACTGTTTTTTTTTTTTTTTGTGTAAATGGAGATCATGGATTCTTCTACCTTTTTTTTTTTTATTTTTTTTAAATATAAACCAAAATCTATGTGGCAAAATTTTATTGGTCAAGTGACTTGTGATTTATAATATAAAGGATCAGAGGCAAAAAAATATCGAGTCGATGAGACCAGCCCACGACTCTAGAATTTTCATTAAACAGATCAATGAAAAATTCTGCTTAAACTTGTTTTTTGAATATCTCGAATTCACACAAATTTGGTTCAAATTCGAGAAATCATTGTCCACCACTAGTTGGAATATATTGGGGTTTTTTTTTTTTTTTTAAATCTAGTTTATATGTAGAAATAGTTTTTGAAATAAGAACTTCATGCTATGTGATATCTAATTTGGTCCACCATTCAATTTGTAAGATCACATATCAGCTTAAGAGACAAACAAATATTTACAAGATAAGACATTATTTACCTGCATGTTTTACGAACCATCCCATAATGAGAGTGAATGATCCGTTCTAGCAACCCATTTCGATAGATTTATGCGTCTAATTGAAACTTATATTTGCTCACATGTATCTTATAGATTGAGAATTCCATTGGATGGTATGAAGAAAAGGGTGAGAAGAAGTGAGAGGAAAACAAGACCAACTCAGAGATATTTGAAGGAGGAGTCCATCAAAAGTGGAGACTCTATTCTAAAAGGAGGCTTCACTTCTAAATAGTCATATGTTTTAGTCGTCGTTTTAACCTTCAGTCGGTTTCCTGATTAGGTTATCCTTATCAAAATGAATAATCAATAAACCTAGTTCTAAATCTCTTTTCTCTCTTCTCCGCGGAAAACGACGCATTTCTCTCTTCTATCTCTTTCTTTCTTACTCATTTATTCTCCGATAAGTTCTGTTATTCGTAGTTAACTATGATGTACTCATGCACATACATACTAAGTCAATTCAATGAAAAAATGAAGAAAAGAGACATGAAATATGTTTCTAAATTCTTACTTAGAAGAATTAGAATCAAATAATACTAGATCTACATACACATGCCATAATATAATATATATAGAAAACAATGTTCTCAACCAAACCAAATCAAATCATTGTAATGATATGATCAACTCGTACGTATATTTGACTCCAAAAGAATTTCTAGATCCGCCACTAAATATAACTATATGGATCTGTAATTCAAATAACTGATTGGATCAAATAACCTGCTGAGTATATATAAGATTCTTCAATTTATGTGGATATTGTTTCTTTGGGATTCAATTTTGTTACCTCTTAAAATTAGATGGAAAAGAAAGATAACTCCAAAAGTAGAAAGTACCTATTGCTGATGCAAATGACAAACCCTAGTAGAACAAATTCAAGACTTTCGGTTTTAGGAAGATAAACTTCCAAATTCATTTGATACTGTATACTATAAACCGGCAAATTAACAAATCAAGGTTAAAATATAATAAACCGTCCCGGTATGATCCAACGGCTGATGTCATAAAACGTGGGGAATATTGGATTAAAATACAAAGACCCCGTTACGGTCGCAAAGAGAGGTGAGAACCGAAAGTCAGTCAAAAACACGTCAATATTGGTGGGAGACCGTGCACGTGACCGCACAGGAACTAAACCCGGACGTATTGCCCGAAGATTAAACCGGATTTGATAATCGGCGACTGGTCCGGCTACCCTTGTTTTGTTTTCGTCTCGGCGGATCGATTTTTTCTCCGTCTGGGGTTGGTGTCTTTATATTTTCTTCCTTGTCTAAAAAAATCTTATCAAAGCTGTGAAAACCCTAGTTTCCAATCCTCTCATTAATCTATCAGTTTCCGATTTCATGGTATGTGTTTTCCGTTTAAAAGGACTTGTCTTTTGGAATTTTAAGGGTTTTCGTTTGAGTAATTCCTTTTTTTTTTTTTTTCTGGGTTTGGTTTTGATGTTACTTTAGATCGGGTGCTGTATATGGAGACTAATTGCTGGAGTTTAGGTTCGTCTGTTTTGAACTGAGCTTTTGGTTCTTGTTTGTCTGCTGTTGAAGACATGGATTTGGAAGCTACTTGTAAGGTATTCTTCAGTTTTTTTTTTTTTTTAATTTTATAATCTCGATTGTATTTCTGGGTGTCAAAACCGATGCTTTGTCTCATAAGGGTTTGGGATTTGTGGTCTTGCTCTAGTTAGGCTCAAAGTTGTGTTTTTTTTGTTATTGTTGTTGTGTTTTGCAGGATAAACTTTCATATTTTCGGATAAAAGAGCTCAAGGATGTGCTCACTCAGCTGGGACTTTCGAAACAGGGAAAGAAGCAGGTTAACATCTTTATGCTTCTCTTCCTTTTTTCGTAATTGTGGTTGTGATTGTTTTGAAGGATTCTCGTAGGGAAGATGAATGTTTCGGATTGTTATAATTGGACCTTTAACATGTTTCGGGTGGTAATTTTTTCTGTCTTGAATTATGTAGCTGCTTCCAAGATGAATCTAAGACATATACCTTGCAAAGAGTGTTATCTGTTTTATACTCTCACCAATTTCTCTTAGGTAGATATGCGATAGTCTTCTGTGGGAATTTGTAATTTTTGGTATCATATAAGCTTCACGGTGCTCACAGGGTACTGATTAAGACTTGGGGGTACCAACTTGGTTTTTTGTCATTTTGAAAGATGTGTTTTTTCTTACTTCTTCTTGAAATTTTCTTGTACAGGAACTTGTCGACCGGATCTTAACCCTTCTTTCTGATGAACAAGGTTAAAAGAACCGCTTGTTTTTGTTTATTGACGTTTTCGTGTATTAAGAGTCACTGCTAGTTCTGCCATCTTCTTCTAATAAGCTTCCCTACTGACAGCTGCCAAGGTGTGGTCTAAAAAGAATACAGTGGCAAAGGAAGAAGTTGCAAAATTAGTGGACGATACATATAGGTGAGCGTTTGTTTCTAACAATAGGTTTCTTAGGAAATGCCATGCTTTTTCTGGCGATTCTTTGTTACCACAAATTTTTATTGTGTTCCATAGGAAAATGCAAGTATCTGGGGCAAGTGATTTAGCATCAAAAGGACAAGTAAGTTCAGATACCAGTAATCTGAAAGTTAAGGGGGAGCCTGAAGATCCCTTTCAACCAGAAATTAAAGTTCGATGTGTTTGTGGGAATTCACTAGAAACAGACTCAATGATACAGGTAATCTGGGACGAACTCGCTGCGTTTATTCCTGTTTGAGCTGGCTGTAGAGCATTTCTTGGTATTTTATGGCCGATGATGTGACATATTTATAATTGATTCCATTTGTGAAGTTTGTTGATACTTTCTGGCTGTAATTATGTTTTTATTCTTTCTGATTTCAGTGTGAGGATCCAAGATGCCATGTTTGGCAGCATGTTGGCTGTGTTATTCTCCCAGATAAGCCAATGGATGGGAATCCACCACTTCCAGAATCATTTTATTGTGAAATCTGCCGACTTACTCGAGCTGACCCGTACGTTTTCCAAAGATTTTACTTTTCCTGTCTGAATTTAAGTTTGAATTGTGATTAGTTTTCCATCTGAGTTCCTCCCCCACCGCTTGACAATTCTTTCCTGCCAGAACTGAAAAGAAAGACATATTTATACATTTAACATGCTTTCCATTCTTGTTTCTTAATCTCCTTGCGTTTGATTGTTGATTAATTTTAACTGTTTTCATAGTTATTAATTTTCTTGTATAGATTATTTGCTATCTTTACATTAGCAGCTGTGGTTATCCATTATTCACGGCTGTCCTACATGGTCTTCTTTGTTCAGGTTTTGGGTTACAGTGGCACATCCACTCTGTCCAGTGAGGCTGACTGCGACGACTATCCCAAATGATGGGTAAGAATTCTATATTTTTTATGTTACTATCACTTTGAACGAGTGTACTTTCAATGCCATTCTTTAAAGTTACAATTTGTCAGCATCTTTTATATTAGAAAGCTCAAGCACTCAGTAGGGTATTCTTTATGATACATCATATCTGTTTCATCCTGCGTTAAATACGTTCACACTGTATTTTTTCCTCCAATTATCTGCAACAAAGCGCTCACTAATGAATCACCTGCATTGTGAGAATTAGTACTTTATATTTCTCTCCTCTTTTCCTTTCTTTCGGAAGGGGTTATAGTGGTGGATTAAGCCTCAGTCACAGTCCTGCTTGTCACTTAAATTTTCTACTTGGAAATATTATAAGACACTCATTCTAGTATCAAGAATGACAATTGTTTCCTGGCTATATGCACAGTTACTGACTTTTGTTTGTTCTGATACTCTGATCCAAAACTTTCCAGTACGAACACAATGCAGAGTGTGGAGAGAACATTTCAAATCACAAGGGCAGACAAGGACCTGTTGGCCAAACAAGAGTACGATGTTCAGGTTGGGTTTTGTAAACTACGTTTAATATGTAAAGGTGTATCTACCTATACGTTTCTAACTGGAAATCAATTTTGTTTAGGCTTGGTGTATGCTCTTGAATGACAAAGTTCTCTTTAGGATGCAGTGGCCTCAGTATGCTGATCTGCAGGTCAATGGTATGACAATGACATCTTCCAGAGTTTTAGTCGGATGAGCATTCCTTCGAAACATGGGAATGTTGTTTTATTTCATGTTGTCATAAATTCCTCTGGGCACATTGCATCACATTCACATCGTCTTTATTCGTCTGTTATTTTTTTCATACTCAATAAGACTATTTTATGCTTTCTGATATGGGATTCATGATATATACCCTATCATTTAATAGGTTTGCCTGTACGTGCAATTAATCGACCTGGATCACAGCTTTTGGGAGTCAACGGCCGCGACGATGGACCTATTGTGTGTTTTTTTCATCCCTTTTGAGTAGTAACCCTTTTGACTTATATATAGGAGTCAATCTCTCATACATTGAAAATCTAGCTATCAGTGGTGTAATTTTTAACCATTTCATTTTACTATTTTGGTAGATCACACCTTGTATTAGGGATGGAGTTAACAGAATATCCTTAAGTGGAGGTGACGTTCGGATTTTTTGTTTTGGAGTTAGACTTGTGAAGCGCAGGACTCTACAACAGGTACTGATAACAGATATGCATAAGAAACATCCAAAGATTTGGTCGGTCTAAGACATAAATGTTCAGAAAGGAAAGAGAATGATCTTCTGAACACAAAAAGAAAGAATAAATTATGTTGGCATACCCAAAGTAATCTGTGGAAGTTACCTGTGGTTACGCACTTATGTTTAACTATTCTAGTGTTATTTCTCACTCCCACTAAATCTTGAAATGTTAGTCAGATTTCAAATTTCAGAGTCCTATTCTTTCTTCCTATATTTCACGCAGATGAGTCACTGAGCCTGGTCTTAAGTGTAGTCTGTCCTTGTGCTGCAACATTTTTATCCCTTTAATCACTTTATTTATAACTTTTGTTGGTGTTAGGAATTCAGATATTGTGCGTTAATGATCTCCAAGTTGCTTATATATATACTCACTTTTGCATCTAGGTTCTAAATTTGATTCCAGAAGAGGGTAAAGGGGAGACTTTTGAAGATGCTCTTGCACGAGTCCGCCGATGCATTGGAGGTGGAGGTGGAGATGATAATGCCGACAGTGATAGTGACATTGAAGTTGTTGCTGATTTCTTTGGTGTCAATCTTCGGTGCCCTGTAAGTTACTAATAGCTCGTAGCTCAGTGTTTATACTTATCATCTTCCTAATGCTGTCTTGCAGACTGATTTTTTTTTTTTCTGCTTGTGTCATTAGATGAGCGGTTCTAGGATAAAAGTTGCTGGGAGATTTTTACCCTGTGTGCACATGGGCTGTTTTGACCTTGATGTGTTTGTGGAGTTGAATCAACGTTCCAGAAAGGTAGGTCTACGATCATTGTCTAGATATTGGGTTATTTCTCTTGTTTTCTGACTTTAGTTGTTCTGGGGTTTGTTAACATGCAGTGGCAATGCCCTATTTGTCTGAAGAACTACTCAGTGGAGCATGTAATCATCGATCCTTATTTTAACCGTATCACGTCTGAGGTATACTTCTGGGAATTCTAGAATTCTTAAAAATTTTGTATCTACACTTTTATTCAATTGTTGTCTTCCTGAACGACAGATGAAGCATTGTGATGAAGAGGTGACTGAAATTGAAGTGAAACCTGATGGTTCTTGGCGTGTAAAGTCCAAAAGAGAGAGTGAGCGAAGGGAACTGGGGGAACTCTCACAGTGGCACGCACCAGATGGTAGTCTTTACCCCTCTGCTGTTGATATTAAACGGAAGATGGAAATGTTACCGGTTAAGCAAGAAGGTTTCTCAGATGGCCCGGCCCCTCTAAAACTTGGAATAAGGAAAAATCGTAATGGCATTTGGGAAGTTAGCAAACCTAATACAAATGGATTATCTTCCAGTAATAGGCAAGAAAAGGTTGGGTATCAGGAGAAAAATGTTATACCAATGAGTAGTAGTGCTACTGGAAGTGGTAGGGATGGTGATGATGCAAGCGTAAACCAGGATGCTATTGGAACTTTTGACTTTGTAGCCAACGGCATGGAACTTGATTCCATTTCCATGAATGTTGATTCGGGTTATAACTTTCCTGACAGAAACCAATCTGGAGAGGGTGGAAATAATGAAGTCATCGTTCTGAGTGATTCTGATGACGAGAATGATGTAGTAATCACTCCAGGGCCTGCATACAGTGGTTGTCAAACAGATGGTGGGCTTACTTTTCCACTGAACCCTTCTGGAATAATTAACTCATATAATGAGGACCCACACAACATAGCTGGGGGAAGTTCACGCTTAGGTCTTTTCAATGATGATGACGAATTTGATACGCCCCTTTGGTCATTTCCTTCTGAAACTCCAGAAGCCCCTGGGTTCCAGCTATTTAGATCTGATGCTGACGTTTCAGAAGGTTTAGTTGGTTTGCATAATCATGGTCCACTAAACTGTGCTCCTGAAATAAATGGAGGTTACACCATGGCTCCTGAGACATCAATGGCATCTGTTCCTGTGGTTCCTGGCTCGGCTGGACGATCTGAAGCAAACGATGGCCTAGTTGACAATCCTCTTGCATTTGGTAGAGACGATCCCTCACTTCAAATATTTTTGCCAACAAAACCAGATGCCTCAGCTCAGTCGGGTTTTAAAAACCAAGCTGATATGTCAAATGGTATCCGCAGTGAAGACTGGATCTCGCTTAGGCTAGGTGATAGCGCTTCTGGGAATCATCGAGTTCCTGCAACTGCAAACGGGGTTAGCTCAAGCCAGCAGATGTCTCCAAGGGAAGGTTCTTTGGATACTACAACAGACACTGGTTCGTTCCCTGTCTGAGACTAAGTAAATGCTTTCCTGAAAACATCAAAGGGACCTATAAATGTGGATCCTGTTGATGATGTTGCTTTACCTTTTTCTTCACTTTACTAAGCTGCTGGGTCTTGTAAACAACTGAAGAAGAAATATCTGTTTTGTTTTTATATGTAGCTTATTTTGTCATTGACTATGCTACTTTATATCCATAGTCCATGTAGTACACTTACTAACTATTACTGCGTATTTGCAGCGTCGTTGCTTCTGGGTATGAATGGCAGTAGGCAAGACAAGGCAAAGAAGCAAAGATCAGATAATCCATTTTCATTTCCTCGGCAGAAGCGTTCTGTAAGACCTCGGATGTTCCTCTCCATTGACTCGGATTCTGAGTGATGATATTCTTCCTGTTTTGTATGGTTCTGTTCTGTCTCTCTTGGGAATGATTCGGTGTTCCTTTTGATTCTTAACGCTATGCACAGAACAATGAACGGGATCATCAGACAAGACACCGGAGGTTACCAAGATTTGCTTGATTCTCTCTGTGCAGGCAAGAATTGAACCGGTATTGATGTTTTCTCTTGTACGATGTAGTTCACTCTCTTCAATATCGGTTCAGAATCTTGGCAAAAGCAATGCACTGGCTGATTTAGTTACTCTGATAGGCAAGAAAAGTGGGGACAGTGGGTTCCGGTTTAATTAATTAGTAATTTGTATACTCGAATAGGTTTTTTTTTTTTTTTTTTTTTTTGTGGACGATGATAAAATTACTTCGAAGCCAGGAGGAGCTATAGAGAGATATAGCAATGTAAATTATGGGCTCCAATTTTTATTTATTTATTATAAAAAAATCAGCTCTTCTCCTCCATTGCAAATTGTGTGCATTTGGTTAACAACAGTGCTACGTAAAGGTTTGGATCGCGCCACAACGATGAATCTAGCAAAATACCCACTACGTTATAAGTCATGGTCTAATGAATTCGATTTTTTATTATTATTAATATTAGACAAAACTAAAATCATTTGTATTTTTATTTTATACTACTAAGAAATATGTTACCAAAGAGTATGTGTGTATATATATTTGTGTGTTTTTCTAATCTTTTGGCAGTTTTCTATTTGTAATATTTCTTAAAATACACAAATATGTTTATGTAGCGGACAATCCTAAAAAATATCACACTTAAGTTTTGGTTTTCAAAAGATACTACTTAAGTTTTGGTTTTCCAAAAATACCACAAAACTAAAACTAAACTTTCAACCTTCAACACTAGATTAGATCCTACGCTAAAAACTAAACACTAGATCCTACGCTAAAAACTATACCCTAAATCTAATATAGTTAATCCAAACCTAAAATTTTAAATTTTGAACTCTTGAAACTCAATTTTTGTGTTTGTGGTATTTATGGAACACCAAAATTGTTGGTGGTATTTTTGGCAAAAAAAAACTTGAAAGTGTGGTATTTTGAGAAATTTTTCTTATATAGCAAAGATACAAATTAATACTTACAGAAAAAATAGTTTGATTCGTCTAAATTTTATGGATCATATATCGAGAAAATTCATTTTTTTCTTAATATTTTTGAAATGACTTAGTATATTACCTATTTAAAAGTTTTATAATAAGAATTTAAGATATTTAGTTCAATCACATATTTCAAAAAAATATCATATCGATTTATTATTTTATTTTATCAGTATAATTATACTTACCATAATAATTATAACTCTAACATAACTTCAAAAGATACCAATTCACTATTAAAAATAATAACTTAAAAAAAAACCATTGTACCTTAGATATATCTTTAGTATTGTAATCAATACTTAATGTTTTTAAGATTAATCAATTCTATGTGACTATTTGAAGATCCCGGGATTTGGCCGGTATTCTATCTAGTTCACTATGATGATAAGATTCGTTTAAAAGATCACTAACTATATGCATACTTTAATTAATAAACATGCCCTTATAATATTATTATCAGTAAAATAACTTTAATTGGAAATATTCTCTGAAACAACTACCATTTCACTATTTTTGGATGACATTTACATTCTACATAGATAAGTTGGATATTTTCATATTAATTACTATATAATTGATATTTTGTGTAATTTAAAAGAATCTGGCTTCAAATTATAAGAAAATTTATCAATTTTTTTAAAAGTCATTCAAATAATTATTATGTATCTATCAAATGAGATAGGAGAGCTATAAATATTATTGGATATCACCATTTCATCATAAAAATATTTCATTATCAGTAACGAATTTATCGCCAATAACAAGAAAGCATGTGTTCTATTTTTTTTCGAACAAAGGCAGTGCGTAATGTAACGGCATATATTTGTTGTCAATTTATTAGAAATAATAACGAATTTGGAATGGTCTCCATATTCTCAATAACGGTCCAAACAAAATAATTTCATCTTTAAACTCTCAATTATATAGTATTATTTCATGGTATCCGTTTTGATGATTTTAATTTTTTTCTGTATGTAACACATAAATAACTAAGTTTTCTATATTCATAAAGGAACATTATCTAGTGTAAAATTTCTAAACTCATTTCATCCTATAAATAATATATCGAATGTTTTTTCATTGTATCTAGTCTTTTATAATATACTCTCTTGAAATAAATAAATAAAACTATTTATGGATGATAATTACATCTTATAAAGGTTAGTTTGGAAACACAACGAAATAGTTCATAATCATGTCGGGCTCAAACATATATACTCGTCTCAAATCAATCGCAATTGGTGGCCAAGTTATAACAACTGCTAATATAATCACATAACAATGTTATCATAAATATTTTTCATTATCAATAACAAATCAATTGCTAATAACGTAAAAAAATATGTTCTATCAAAAAAGTAGCAATGAATATGATTGCATAAATAATGTAACGGAATATATTTGTTACAAGAATTGTTAAGAAAATCATATAACCATTTTATCATACATATTTTTCATTATCGATAACAAATCAATCGGCAATAACGAGAGAATACATGTTTTACTTTAGAAAATAGCGACGAATATATTCAAATAAAAATGTAACGATTTTGTGAGTATGTTAAAATAGTATATCTAGTAAAATATTCAAACAATACAAAAATGATGTGTCAATAAACATGATATTCGTTATTTGTTTCCATCACCAACATGGTGAAAATTTTACGCTTTTTAGTGAAAAGAAATTTACGGCGCCATTTTTTTGTTGCTAAATTTCAATTGTTTTTCTAATAGTATTACTATTAGATATGAAAAGATCACTACTAATTAAAGGTGGATCTTTCTGGCAGATTTGGATACATTGTACAAATGAAATGAGAAGATAATAGTCAAATAAATATGAATTGCATACCATATATTGATAGAATATTAAGATTATGAAATGTTACAAAAATAGTAAAATTGAAATTCAAATATAAAATATAATAAATTAAAGTTGAAAGTTACTCATAGACAACTCAAATATTAATTATTGGTTTGTAATATTCCCCTATAAATACATAATCACTTTCATTCTACAAACACCAATCTATATTTTATCTTCCCAAATATCAGTAAAATGGTGAAGAAAAGCAAAGGTCGTCAAAAAATAGAGATGGTCAAAATGAAAAATGAAAGTAACCTCCAAGTTACTTTTTCAAAAAGAAGATCCGGACTTTTCAAGAAGGCTAGTGAGCTTTGCACACTTTGTGGTGCAGAAATCGCCATAGTTGTGTTTTCACCTGGTCGAAAAGTCTTTTCTTTTGGCCATCCTAATGTTGAATCTGTAATTGATCGATTTTTAAACAATAACCCTCCACTTTCTCACCAACACAACAACATGCAACTTAGTGAGACTCGTCGAAACTCTATTGTTCAGGAGCTGAATAATCATCTTACTCAGGTAATCTTTACTTTTATTTTATTGTATGATTAAAAAATGTTATAGTGTTTTATATAAATCATAAAACCCAAATTTACATGGTAGAATTCTAATTTTTTTGCTTTATACGTATGTATATAATTTTATACTTTAATTTTCAAAATTAAGATATTTGTGTATGCTTACTTTCATTGTTTTTGTTAACTAAGAAGTTTTGGAATACTCATAGCCTCTTCTCACCAGACCAAAACACATTGAATTAAATATCTCAGTCACTTATTTATCGTTGGTACTCAAACTTACAAATTTAAAAGAATACTTTTTTTTTATATATATATTTGTAGGTGTTGAGCCAATTAGAATCGGAGAAAAAGAAGTATGATGAGTTAAAGAAAATAAGAGAAAAAACAAGAGCCCTTGGGAATTGGTGGGAAGATCCCGTTGAAGAACTTACATTACCTCAACTCGATGGATTCAAAGGTAATCTTGAAAATTTGAAGAAAGTAGTTACAGTCGAAGCCTCCAAATATTTTCAAGCAACTGTTCCAAACTTCTATGTCGGAAGTTCTAGTAATGCTGCTTTTGGGATTGATGATGGTAGTCATATCAACCATGATTTGGACCTCTTTAGCCAAAGAAGAATGATGGACATAAATGCATTCAACTACAACCAGAACCAGATTCACCCTAATCCCGCATTACCGTTTGGAAACAATGCTTATGGTCATATTAATGAAGGATTTGTTCCGGACTACAATATGAACTACAGACCAGAGTATATCCAAAACCAATACCAAAACCAAAACCAAAACCTGAGTTTTAAGAGAGAAAACATCTCTGAATATGAGCACCATCATCATGGTTATCCTCCCCACTCTAGATCTGATTACTATTAATCCTTTGTTGTGTGATCCAATTTAAGTCTCTAGACAAAAAGCTGTGTTTACAATTTTCTTTATTTCTTCTTATTTTGTTACTACATGTGTTGTTGTTTTTCTTGTTCTTGTTACAAGTATTATGCTGTGTTGTGTTGTTTCTTTTCAGAATTATGTTGTTAAATTTTTAGTTAAAAAATAATGGAATAAAATTTAGGATATGTTTAAATTCTCTATTTCGGAAACAAATGCATTACTCTGAAAATACTAGAGTCTGCCATTGATACGTATTTTGTGTCGTTGCAGAATTTTAAAACAAGAATGGTAATAATTAAACCCAATCCTGTATATATCTGTTTTAAAATAAATTTGCAAAAAGAGGCATCATGAGAATTTCTATGTGCACCATTTTATCAACTAAAAAGTACATATAAGATCCCAAATATTTTGGTACATTGTAACAAATGAAATGACAACATTACAATATTTTCCCTATAATTTCATTCCTTATAATGATGAAATACAGATATTATGAAATATCCCTAAATTGATAAAATTTTAATTCTAATATAGAAGAAAATATAATAAAATTAATGTTAGATTTATAGAAAACTATTGCTATAATAAGGTTAATTTTAAAATGAAAAAAAAAATCTAAATATATTTCAGAAAAAAAAATGTCACATTATTTTATTTAATCCGTGCAATTTACTATAATATTTATTTTTCTTAAAAAAGACTAAATTATCATCAAATATCTAGTATGCATTACATGTCAATCAATCCAAATAAACAATTGTAAGAACAATACATGAAAATGCACATATGTACTTAATTTTTTTCTCAAAATCCAGAAAAATACTTAAAAGCTAATAAATATATTGTAATTTTATTGAAAACTTTAAAATCCAAAGCGCCACCTTAACCGCAAATTCAAGACCTCAATCCAAACTCATCTAACGGCATGAGATGCTCCACACATCCATAAACTCACAAATCTCCAGATTCATGGAGACCACAAGAAATACAAACAAACACACAAGACAGATTCAATGACAAAAGATAAAGATGAAGTTCTTTTGTCAGCAAAACACACTTAAAGAACATAAGAAAATAAGCTTCTTTCTTGGGTTGTTTATATCAAACCCTAGTGATTGTAGGAGAAGAATCAGGCTGGCTCACAGAAGATGACTTTGATGCTTCCATCATGATAGCAGCTTGTTCTAAACAACTCTTGTTATCGTCATTAGCATTCTCCACTTCCTCTTTCGTGTATAAGTGTATCTTCCACACCACATTGCAGAAATCACTGTCCATAGCAACAAGCCAATTTCAAGTTAGCAGGTAAGAAGTTGTGATTGAGCTTTAGTAGCTAGGTATAAAGAACTTACTGCCATGGATCATCGCCAACGACCATCATATCGTTCTCACTATCAGTATATAAGATCCTCCATCCTTTTTCAGGATCCCTGAGAAGCCCTTCCATGTTGAACAGCCGTTCAAGCTCGGTAAGGAGATCATCATAACCGTTTAGTCGGGATAAATCAATAGCTCTCCCCACTTGGCTGCCTTGCTTATGAACCTTTTGACAACAATTCAACACAAGAATTTATTAGAAGAGACATCTAGAAATGCAGCTCCAACAAGCCAAAGAGATGAAAAAGAAAAAGTTTTTACCTTTGTACAGATCCTTTTGCTCGAGCTTTGCGGGTTAGATGCAGGTGTCTCCACAGGTAAGGAGAATCCGAAAAGTTTACATCCTGATGAAGCATTCATATCAAAGTCACTGCCTTTCTGTTTTCCCATCATATCAATCTTGAATGGCAAATCAGCGGTAACATTATTCGGTAGGCCACCTCCATTTTGTGCATCGAACTTTCTAGTCTCTTCACCAAAGTTTATTGCACGAGAAGGGTGACCCGAGGATTGATTTCCCGCATTGTATGGATTCTGATATGGAACATGAGTACTCCTAATCCCTTGTAAAGCTAGCGGATAGAAACTTGACTTGTTAGCTTGGTACGCAAAGGGATCAGTATATCCAAGATTTGGTTTTCCTGAAGCAACAGCTGGACTGAAACCAGCAAATTGCGGGAATGATTTAAGCGAGCAAATTTCTTGACCTTGCAAGACCCTTGGAAACCTGTCCAGGTCCATAACACCTGAACAAGCTGGGTTCAGGGCAGTAGCATCTACAAACTCACCAAATCGATCCTTCACTCTACTCGACAAAAGAACTGGACTTGCGTGAGACTGCATCGCAAAATCCAGTATCCGGCGGTTCATAACATCAAACCCCTGTGAGGGTGATGCAGAACCTATATTTTCTTGACCTTGCAAGACCTTAGAGGGTCTAACCGACTCCTCAAAGTCCAAAAAACCACCCCTTTCTGCAGAAACCAAGAACAATAATCAATAATCTACTAAAGAAAGTTGAGACCTGTTTGCAAAGCATATCCTCCAAAAGAAGAGAGGTCTGTATAATTTACCGGTTATGGGGTTTCCGGGTGGAGTAGTATCCAGTAAACCTGCCCACGGCCTTTTAGGCCTTGGAGATGACTGAATGCTTAAGTGTGGGAGAGAAATCGAGGGATCAATCTCCCAAGGTGAAACTCTTTCTTGATGATCACTCACAAATGACTCATCCCATCGCACCTGCCAGACAAATGAAAGATTTAACTATCGATCTTCGAAAATGAAAAGTCTTCTACACGGTAATAGACAGATACTCCAAAAAGACGAGGGAGGACGCACCAACAAGCACCTCCATTTAGAGTTTGGCCACCTATACGGGTCCAAGTCACAGACTCCAGTCACTACTCCAGCGCATCTGCAAGAAAGGTCAAATTTTAATTCTCGTTCAAGAAAATTAGCTGGCTACACAACACAAATAAAGAAGCAATACCTTCTCTCAGGAGAGTCGTCCATTTCAAATCGCATTCTGAATCTTGTGCCTATGCAAATGGGATTCCTGATGCTTGTGATATACTTCTCATAAGGAATCACAAACTCTGCATGCGTCGCTCTGTATATAAATCCATGAATCAATACTATAGTTCTTTTTGTCCTTGGAAGCAAGTTAAGAATCATTACTAATGGCAGTGTTTCATTGTTATATTACCGTGGACTGTAAAACACATGAAACATGCTTTTTGTAGATACAGCATTAGCCAAAAGAGACAGAATGTTCGAGCATGAGTTCTTCTCAATAATTGAGTCAGGAAGTCCATTTCTTGGCCTTGCTGCTCTTCTTATTCCTAATCTCAGCTCTCCACCTTCGTCTCTATAAACGCAGATATTAGTAACAAATGTAACATTTTTGGATCAAGAGCTTCAAACAACCAATAGCAGAGGGAAACACTATCAATCTACATCAGTTAAAATGAAATCTTATGATTACCTCAGAAAGAGAACGGCATCACCAGAGGCTAGATTCTTTTGACTAACAAATATACTCCAACCAGTGGTGAGTAGATGCCTCCTTGGTTGACCTATAGTACAAAGAGACAGAACTAAACATTTTGGTTTCACTGACAAAGAAAATAAAACGAATAATGCCAAACTCAACCCGAGCCACCTCTATAGATATGGCGAAACTTCCACTCTACTCCATGGAGATCCTTTGCAATGAGCTCTTGAGATGGCCTCTGTTGTTTGTAGTCCTAACATCCGTAAAAAATTCACAAATAAGGCTTATAACAAGAAGGCCAAACCTCCAGAAAAAAATGAAGAAAATGAGATCTAGAGAACCATACAAGAGGAGCAAAACAATCTTCAGCGGCTCTTCTAGGTACAGAGAAACCTCCATGAGTGCTTGTGTCAGAAGCTGTTAAGGTTTTGCAAAACATATGAGGTGTTCGTTTGACGGAAGAGCTTACGTTCCTCTCTTCGTCCCCTCCTAACTCTTTGACCTCTTTCCCCTCCGTATTTAGCATCGAAAACTATAAAACCCAAGAAGTTTCTTCAACATATTAACATCACTGAGATTATAAATGAAACTCAAGAAAGACCAAAGATTCCAGTGCTCTATGAGCCTCTTAAACAAAATGATGGGGTTAAGTCACTAGAGAAAAACCAAATTTATTCACAATCACACCTAGAATCTGAAGTTACACTAGTGATATACTCTTACTTCGAATAAGATAGAGCGTTTGAATTTGCTCAACATCAATTGAAGTTTGAAAGAAGCAACAGTTGAGTAAAAAGAGTACCTCTTGGAGTGGAAGCAGAGTGACTTGAGTGTAGACCTCATCAGTTTCCTTATTAGCCTTTTGTTTCCCCAAAAGAAGGAACCAAATTTGCAAACAATTACCACAATTAGAAAAGAAAAGAAAAAAAACAGAACTTGTTCAAGAATAGTAAGTAGAACACAAAAGGAATGTTCTTTTTTTGGGGTAGAGTGATACAGACAGACTTACAAGCAATTGGACATGAACCACCCTGCAGAAGATTTGGGGATTAAGGTCAAATTTGGGGATTTCAAGAGGAGAAGAATAAGAAACCATAGCATCTTGCTCCAAATGACCTTGTGGGAAATAGACAACTACATTGCCTTTCTTGGGAAGACAAGTGAGAGGACCAGCACAAGCATGCCACAGCTCAGAGTAAATGGAAGATGCAGAGCCTGTAGAAGATGATGATGATCCGGAAGAGCATGAAGAAGAAGATGACGGTGAAATTCCAAGCCTACCCCTGTCAATTCGTGTTCCTCCTACTCCTACATCATCATTCTCCTCCTCTTCCACCTCCGCAATCTCAGTATTCAAGTCAAATTCCATTGAAAAGCTTCTTCTTTATTAAGCAAAGGAGACAAGAAGAAAGAAAAAAAAACAAAAAGTTTCTATTTTTAATCAAATTACAACAAAACAAGTAAAACCCATCAAAGGAAAGTTGGCAAAATTCGAGCTTGAAGTGACAGAATTCAGAATTCCTCTCCTTTTCAAGTAAATTTCACAAAGAAGAAGCAAATTTTAAAAGTTGCTATTGAAGGGAGAGATGAGTAAATAAGTGTGGAATCACGAATCAGAGAGAAAAGAGAGAGGAAGGAGGAATCAAATGAGAACAAGGGTTTCAAAGTATGATTCTTCTTCCTCCATTTGCAGGTACTGAGAAGAGGGAGCAGAAGAAGGAACAGACATAGATAAAAATTTGCAGATTGGAAAAAAATATACTTTTTTAAAGAGCAAAAAAGCAAAAAAAAAAAACAATTTAGTGGAGAGAGAGAGAGAGAGAGATAAGCGGGGGAGACAAAGCCAAGACAGAACAGAACCCACACCTACACTCTCTCTTTCCCCTTCTTCTTCTTCTTCTTCTTCTTCTTTCTTTTTCTTTGTTTCCCAATAAAGACTTATTTATTCACTTGAAAATTAATAAATAAAAACTATATTTGTGTCAATATACACACGTTTACACACAAAAGTTAACATTTTTTCATTTTCCTCTTTTTTTGTTAAAAGAAGAAATGTTAAAAGTTTCATTAGGTGCTAATAAGAAGTTTGTGATCAAACTTAACGGCTAATTCAATCCTTTGTCTAGTTTTTTTTCCCTTCAAAATTGTTGATGTATCTATATTAATCAACTGTTTAAATACGTCTAACCATTATTAATCACTCGTTTAATTATTCATACTATTCTTTTCTTTTATGTTCTGATATTTTAGTTGATTTCAGTGCATGTTTAAATGGTTGGTTATCATTTTCCAACAAACTCACTCAGAGTGAACCATCAAAGTTTAAATTATATGCATCGATTGGATTATATTTTTTTGTCATTCACACCATAATTTTCTTAACTTGTGACTTGTGAGGAATAAAAACCGCAAATTGATTAGCTTTTTCTTTGCATACTCTTACAAAGGAAACAGTATCTCTTTGGAATCTTTCTTTGTTCTTTCTTTTTTGATGTTATGTATTGTATTATTTGTTTTCGTTTTTATTTTTATTCGAAAAAATTAATCACCTTTTCCATTGCGTTGTTAAGAAGAGCCAACCAACCGGCTAAAGACAGAAGAGTAGGCTCCTTTCGATTTTCTAACAAAAGCACTTTTTCTCTCTTTTTCTGAGAGACAAATAATATGAAAATCAGCATTTTGTTATTGATATACTAAAGTATGGTATTTAAAAACCATATCAACATATAAACAAACTTTCACCAGTCTCAATAATAAAATTTTATATTCAATTACAACACCGACTCATTTGGTAAAGTCTACTAATATACTGATATTTCTTGGATAAATATCTTCAAATGGGTTTAGTAAAAATATTTGATGGTGGAAAATGATTGCTTCCTAATTTGAAAAAGTAACATGTTTTTTTTTGTTCATATATATAGTTTGCTATTAATTCATATAATATTATATCATATTATCGTAAAAATTAGCATACTATTTATATGTTTAATGTACCGTTTTTTAGTGACATGCTTGATCTGATGTTGAATTACTAAATGGCATAACAATTTTTTTTTTTTGGTGAAGATGGCAGAACTATTTTAGTCACTAATATCTACTCATAAAACAATTTTTTTTTCTCAAACATTTGATTATGAATAATACCCTTTCATAATTTCATTGGAGAGGAAAAAAGAAAAAGAAAAGAAGAAAACAAAAAGGATGATGGGATGGGAGAGGGAGAAAGAATGAGTCTCTTCTTCAGAGTTGTGAGTGAGTCCCAACAACTAACAAAGACCCCCCTTGATATTTGCTGCCTCTTTGGCCCCCACCTTTTTTTTTTTCCTTATTCCTTTTTACATTTTTCATGCAACTCCTTCTAAAACTAGCTTCAATTTCTCATTTTTTTTCTTTAGTACTTAATTCATATTCAATTCTGATTAGAAATATATCTTCTTTATTCTAATATTGCACCACAACTCGAAACGTGTAATCTCTTAATCTTAATGATATGATTACCATATTCTTCTGTCTGCTGATCATAACCTTTAGTCAAAGATTATCTTTTTAATTAGAGTGGATCGTATCTTTTATTTTTCCATGTTTCTTTCCTAACTAAAATAATATTTTACTAAGAAAGTCGATTTTACAATTTTTAGAAAAGATATCTAATTTGAATATTATTGTGTGAAGTCTCCCATGGCTGAATTTATCAAGTGAGTTAGTTTTGGACCAAACACTTTTTGTAGTATATACACTTAAAGTTGTCAAAACACAACACATACAACAATATAGCTCTCAAAATAATAGAAATATACATTCCACACCCACATACATAAATTCATTTGTGACTTTCTGCTGAAAGTAAGCATCTATTTGAAGGGTGAGCCACTTGGATGCTTTGACTCTCCTCCACTCAAAATAAGCTTGTGTTTATCAAAAACCTAACCATGCATATTCATCCTCCCTTTGTGTTTATATCGTCTTTTACATGGCTCCATTTCCCTTTCTTTTTCCTAGCCTCCCTAAAGAAATTAAAAGAGAAATTTCTTACGTTATATATTAGCCATCACGCTCGGTTCTGATTTTATTCTTCTCTCTGTTTCAGTTTCATTTCATGCGGCATACATGTAAATTGTTGAGATAACGTTCGATACCAATTTATCCATTTTAATTTTTGAATCATTTATTTAATCGAAGTTTCAAAATATTCAAAGATACAATGCGTTGCATGTTTTTTTTTGTTCGGAAAGAAATAGCATATATCCATAGCCTAATTCGTTGTCTGTTTATAATTAGGTTCTTTTGACCAAGTTGATTGAATTAGGCTATGAATATTTGCTATTCTTTCCAAATTTTCATTCAAATCAGAAAGAATAAAATAACATTTTTCCATGTAAAAAACTTGGGAGTTCTAATTACCACAAATATGTTGCCATAAATTTCTGCTTTGTACAATATTTTAGTTTACGAGATTCCTGCATGTACATATCATAAAAATTTGGAGTGATTTTGTTATAAGAATCAACGTAGACAACTGACTTAGTAAAATAATGATATAAACTTTTTTATGTGTAAGAAACCATAAAAAATACAGCAGCTGAGTTGGTATTTGTGTGTCCATGACCTCTTTATCCTGAGTTCAAGTCCCTGACATAATAGATTTAGTTTTTTCCCTTTTTTTTTAAATGATCTGGATAAAAACAATTCATGGGTCCGCCACTGTCTACATGTACATATCATAAAAATTGGAGTGATTTTGTTATAAGAATCAACATATAATACAATAATGCTTATTTTTATACTATTGATATCTAAGTAGAAATTGTTTTATTAAAAATAGAAGAAAAAAGGTTTATGTTTTGGCAGAGAAAAAATATAAAAAGGAAAAAGACAGAGGTGGATAATTAGGAGACGTCGTGTCAAAAAAAATTGTCGCGCGAAAACGACAAAGCAACGCCAATGACTTTATTAAAGTCACAAGTGTCTGTATCATACGATTAAAGACACTCCTCTCTCTCTCCCTTAATTTTTTTTTTCTTTTTAATAAATCCTGAATACTATTTTTACTTTTTACATGTTTGTAGTTAATTGCGGTTCCGTAATAACCACACACCGAGAAAATATTTTTCAAATTAACTGTATGTAAAATTATATAGAGTTGACTGACTTTAAAATTGAAAAATTATTTAGTTTCAAATGGGTTTCTGTATTTTAGAAAATTACTTATGGTAATTTTAAATATCCAATAGATATATATGCATGGTATTCTTAAAATTCTGTTTTATGAATAAAATTTTTAAAAGTTCATTATCAGATACGCTAGATGTTAATAGAACTACTCAACTACATAATAATCAGTAAAACTACAAACAGGTTGGGTAGAATTTATATATCAACTTGTGATAAGAAAAGTAGGCCCATCATATTGTAGAGACAAATGGTATCCCATAAGAAGAAAGCAATTTGTCAAATTGGAGCCTACACTAAAGTTGGGCCCTATTTTAACTTTTTCAACCTTTTTTTTATAGCTAAAGTTAAAAAAAAAAAAGACCAAAAAGATTTGAGTGAAAATTGAAGCTTAAATCTTAAGTCATACTTGTCAAACTATATATACTCTATAATCCTCGATCCTCGTTTTAAATCATACATAAGAATAAGTAAATTTCATCATCGTTAGATAGCATTCCTCGTATCGATGATGTTATTTTGCCAACACTATTATATAAATGAGAAACCAAATTGTATGTTGTTGATTTAGAGTTGAACAGAGTTGGGTGTCATCTTATTATTATTACAATTGTTACCCACTAGTGTTGTTGTTATATAGTCGTCATTGATATCGAATTATGGCATATGGGATTGATTTTGATCCTCTTGTCTCTTTAATGCCAACATGCCATGGTCTTAAAACACTTTTGTTAAGATATCCTTCTTGTAGTTTGACCCTATCTACATGCAAAATCGGAAAGTATATGTATTGATTGTTACAACTTACACAAGTAGTATTCGTTAACAAAAGTGTGCTTAATCATATATGGAGTTGCGTATCATAATGTTGGAGTGATCCGAATCTCTAATGGGCCTGGTGTTTCCTTTCTATCAGTAATGGGGCTTGGGAGTGATGATCCAAATCTGTAATGGGCCGTCTTCCAGAGTAGACGACCGGAATGAGTGCCTAAAAGAGTCGACGATCGAGTTTCTTGAACCAAAGAAAGAAATTCCAATTGACAGAGACAACAAACATGGCTCTACTACATTCCCCACTGAAGAAGAAGAGTCATACCAACGAACGAAGAATGCTTTAAATACAAAACGCTTCCTAGTAGCTAGGCCAATTTTGGATTTTGCATGTGTGAGAGAAGAGATCATCAACTTTTAGTAGACTACTACTTTGCAAGATCAAACATGTCTGTTTCCAAAAGTAAACATGTTTTTTATTCAACGTTTAGCGATTTACACGGATCTCATCGAAACGATAAAAAGAAACCCAGCGACCAGCGAGTCAAATATCCAGATCAAGATCCGGATCCGGATTTGTGGAGGTAGAGTTTTCCAAAGACGTGAAGAGCGGTGACGAAGCCGATGAAACAGAGGCTCATGATCAGAACAACTGTCGGTGAGATCTTCAACCCCGGAGCTTCATCTGTGTAGAATCTTAGCATGTTGCCCGATCCTGATCCAGCTGCGGATCCTCCGCCTGAGGACACGCTACCACCGCCACCGAGCCTGCGGCGACGCATGCCGGCAGTAGCGGCGGCAGATCCACGAGGAGCGGACAGACCGGGCCGGGCGGTTGAGGAGGCGGTGGAGGTTGATTGTTGGGATTGGGAAGAGCCTCTCGCCATTGTTGCACGGTCAAGGGAAAAGAAACAACAAGGAGAGAGACAAGTTATGTGAGTAATGAATGGAAGGAAGGGTAAAATGGTAATAAAGTCAAATCTGAGGGGTACATTTTTAGAATGTTGATGATAAGGAGGAGACGTGGTGTTCTAGTAATGACTTTTGTTGGGCGTTCTATGAGTATGATTAATGTTATTAAAAAAAAATCACAAACTTTATCAAAAAAATTCATAAGTTAAAACGGTTTCATCGTCATTAGAGATCAACACATAAGTAAATGTCGTTTAGATATAGGTCCTATATAATCTTGAACATATCTTGGATCGTGATTATTCATTTACCGACTTGCAAATTATTCCTTTTTTTTTTTTTCTCTTCTTTTCCCTAATGTTACGTAGTATTAGTTAGTGTTAATCTTTCCTCCTTCACAAAACTACCGTTTTAGAAAGAAAAAAAAGGTTTGGGCTTGGTTCAAGTTGGGTTTCACATTTTAGTTTTATTTTGATTTAGTTAATTCCTATCCAGAATGAGCTTATTGTAAAACCAGTTGGGCTACTCTTGCCACACCTATTTTAATTTTCCCAAAACCTTTATTAAAAAAGAAAATCCACAAAATTAAGAAATTAGAAGATAATTAAAAAAAAAAAAAAAAAAAAAAGACAACAGATTTGAAATAAAATCTAGAATCTCGGTATAAGTTTCTTTTAAGTCATTATTTCATGGTTTGCATAGTGAAATGAGGGAATAAGTTCAAAGTAATTTAGATTAAAAAAAACTCTTGCAAATTAAAATGCTTTAGTCCAATACACCTCCTAGATTTTCAAAGTTAAGAAAAACATGATGTGTAAACACTCTGGTATAAGTCTCATGATATAGACGCAGTACAGGATGATCTTTCACATGCATCTGTCTCTGTATAATTGTGAACGTATATTTGATAATGAGAGGTGAAAAATGTACTTATGGTGTAATTATGTAATGATGAGTTCTTTGCCCCCATCAAATTTGAGTGTTGGCTGTAAAGACATTCTCCTTTTCTCCATCATCGTCCTTTTCTTCATGTTCTATATTCGTTTCTAAATCCTTCTTTTATATCCTTTTTATGTTGATGTCATCTCAAAAAAAATTTAGTCGGTGAGTGGTGAATGATTACTTGTTATATATAGCAAGATATTGAAAAACATATAGCATCAAAAATCATAGCAATCTCCTAGGTAATTATGAATGATGAATGATATACCATTATTTGAATATATTTTCACGTTTTGAAAATATTAAAACTTTATTTTCCATTCAAAACATTTACTTATCAAGTGTTTTCACGAAAAAATGAAAAATAATTCAACTATATACTACACACAAAGAAAAAAAAAAAACGTGGTTACTATGCTAAAAAAATAGTGATTCTTACTTGTAATCATTAGCTAATAGTGGTTCTGCTATTGCATCATTTAGTTATTCTGTAATTCACTAACTCTACTATTTATATACTATACTAGTCAATCCCATGAACTACATAATTTTGTTATAAACCTACTATATATTGGGTAAGAATCATTTTCTATCCAAATTTGGGCATCAAAATTCTAAGAATGTAAACTTAAATTAGAAATACGGATGGAGACCTAAAAATAAGAAAATTAAGACACATAGATTTGGAAAAAATGAGCTATAACTATTGTAGTTACACAGAAGTGGTGTGCTTTTGTAAATTAGTATATGATGTGATGTCACTTGTCTCACTCGTAAATAATTTGGCTAAACTTTGATTACCATTTTCAAATTTAAAGTTACATTTTCATCATGATCAAAATAGATATTATTAAAGTGGGGAAAATTATCCGTGACATCCATCTTGAATGCAATGATCTCGTTATATTCATTTTCAGCTCCAAACTTATGCTCGCTGTGATTTCATTTTCTTTTTTATAAATTTCAATATATAAGACAATTACTGCTTTGCATCTTATTTCATTATATGCAGGGCCGGTCCAACAATATTGGTGACATGAAGCAAAAAATTTCTAAAAATAATCATCTAGCTATTACTTTTTAAAACAACAAATTATTTGAAAAAACTTAAGAAAAACTACTTTCTATAATAAAAAGATTTGGTTTAAATTTCTTTTTTTTGTGCAAATTTCTTCTTATTCTCAAATGAATAAATTTCTTATGAACAATTTGTTACCGACTATAGGAAATAGTTTTTTTTTTTTTTTGAGAAAATGACAAGAGAAATCTATGATTTTTTAGAATTTTTTTATTTGGTAGAGTTTTATAATTAGATATAGTTCTTCTTTTGCTTCAAATTTGTATTATCTTTAATATATTGATAAGTGATAAATGCTAGAATCAAATAAAAAGGGGAATAAATACAAAAACGAAAGAAAGCAAAATGGGAAACATGAAAAGAGTATACAAAAAGATATACTCGAACTCAAAACTTTAAAGTAAATGGAAGAAAATTATTATAAGGCTAATCGAAAAAATTAATTAAGTGCCCCCAAAATCCTTATTATAATTTGTGGCCCTAATTCTTTGGTTGGGTGGTTTGCCCAGTGGACCGGCCCTGATTATATGGAGGTATAAGAACTTGACATCTCCCAAGTATTAGATGGTTAAATTGTAATAGATCTATTTGATTCTAGAGGCAAATATTTTGGCAAAAAGGAACAAGCAAGGGTTGAGGTACATCTTTTTATAACAAAATGGAATGTAAGCCATGTGTAATCTGAAAAAGAAATGTTGTGGTACGTATTATTGTTTAGTCAACTTTTAAACGGTAAGAAAAGTCCAAAAGTTTAAAGTTTGTTCACATCTCATATGCATACACAATCATACAAGATATATGCAAAAATTTCGATATCTATATATTACAAAAAAATGACGTTCTAATAATGTCGAATTCAGTTTTCATATAGATTAAGAAGGATAACCATATATTAAACCATATATTATTATTTTAATTAAGTCATGACGTAATACTATATGAATTTTACTAAAACGATATGAAATTGATAATGGAAAACATTAATTTCCAAACTAAACTAATCAAATAGAATTATATAAAGATTCGTGTTAAACTAGGATGAGAAGGTTCCAGTACTCTAAGTCCATGACTTACCGACTTGTAATAGAACAGTTGTGTGTAAAGAGAGATAGAGGAGATTCCGTCTTAGCAAGCCTCTTCTTTTTGGTGTTATCCTACAAGACTCTACAAGTGATCAAAACTTAACCTATCACAATCTCTTAAACATAAAAATCCAAAAACAAATATTAGATCAATTCTCTACCAACGACCAAAAACTAAAATAAAATAAAAAGAGTACATTTCTAAAACTTCAATAATAATCCCCACTTTTCAGCCCATAAGAAAATATCTTGATATAGTTCTTATAAGTCACAAAGCTTTACTGTCATTAGATAGATAATCACTTACATCATTACTAGTTTTCTTCTTTCATTTCTCTCTTTATCTGTCTTCATTGCTTGTTTAAGTGGAGAATTAATCTAAGACAAACTAAAGAGTTTTTTTTTTTTTTTTTTGGTCTCTTCTTACATATGAATCAAGACATGATGATTCCACATAATCATGACCGCCTCTCATTCTCTAGCTTTGTCCATGACCAAGAAGAGAACATCACCATAAATCCTAGCCCTAAGTCTCAGCCTCCAGCCTCCACTAACACACCCAAGAAAAAGAGAAACCTCCCAGGAAATCCAGGCATGTGTATATATATATATATTTTATATGTTCTCCATGGTTTTTTTTAATCTAGCTTGATGTGTTTTCAACAAAATCAATAATCTTGTTCCGAGTGTAGATATTTTGTGTTTTCTTTTTTATTCTTCTTGATTATTGTTTTATTTTTCATGGTTCTAGTTTTGTTTCTAACAAAAACAACAAAAAACAGATCCAAATGCAGAAGTCATCGCTCTATCTCCAAAATCCCTCATGGCGACAAATCGGTTCTTCTGCGAAATCTGCAACAAGGGGTTTCAGAGAGAACAGAACCTTCAGCTTCACAAACGAGGCCACAACCTGCCATGGAAGCTTAAGCAGAAAACAAACAAGAATCAGGTGAAGAAGAAAGTTTATATTTGCCCCGAGAAGAGTTGTGTCCATCATGATCCAGCTCGAGCCCTAGGCGACCTCACTGGAATCAAGAAGCACTTTAGCAGGAAACATGGAGAGAAGAAGTGGAAATGCGACAAGTGTTCCAAAAAGTATGCTGTGATATCCGATTGGAAAGCTCATAACAAGATCTGTGGTAGCAGAGAGTTTAGATGTGATTGTGGTACCCTCTTCTCCAGGTTATTACTAATACTCTTTCTACGTCTTGGTCTCAAGTATCATCATTTACCTTTAATTTACACGTAAAGTTTAGATTCTTGTATTTTAATTTTCGAAAAACATACATAACATGACAAAGCATACATAACTTTGTTTTTCCTTTTCAGAATTGATACATGTTAATTTCCGAACTTAAAAACCATAGGTTTTGTCTAGTACGTGGCCTTTTGCTCGTAGCTTGTCGTTTAGATACCACTTCCGTTAATTATTACTTGGCTTCTTTTTGTCTTGGTCCGGTTTGTATTTTTATAGAGGAGAAAAAGGCTGCATGATTAGGACATGATGTGGTCATGTCTCAATAATTTATCCACCTTACTACACACATCGATTCCAAGCTTGCATTTAATAAAGAGTTGCATATGTACATCATTTTTATAGATCAGATTGCTTTCATTTTAATAAAGAGTTCCATATATACCATACAAGAAGGCCTATTTTAATTTATATGTGAAAATATATATAGCCTATATTAACATAGTTACTTTGATGAATGATTTGGTTGATTGTACCAGGAAGGAAAGTTTCATCTCACATAGATCCTTCTGTGATGTCTTAGCTAAAGAAAGTGCTAAATTCTTCTCAGTTCCATCACCTTTAGCCGCCAATTCGACTATCGCCACTGTAGCTGATATCAACAATCCAATTCTTATTCAATCACAATTGGATCAATCTTCCATAGGTAACGTCAACAACAATCACACCAGCTTAAAGTTCACAAACTCCAACCCAATCCAACAACAAGCCAATGCTTTTGCGCTGTCCTCAGCACCATCACCTGTTACTACATCTGATTCGGTTCATAATCTATGGAAGTTACAAGAAGAGGAATGTTCACACCAGTGGTTACTCAATGAATATATGAACAACGACAAAAACATTATTCAGAAGGGAATATTCAAGAATCAAGAAGATGAGATCAAGAAGGGAAATATCTACAGCGGCTCGAACCCAACCGATGCAAATACAGCATCCTGGCTCTCGTATAGTCAAGAAGCAGGGAATATGGCTTCATTGTCGGCGACAACATTGCTTCATAAGGTGGCTCAAATGGGATCATCATCAAGCTCCGACACTAGCACCATGTTTGGGCTCATGACTTCCTCCATCTTCAACAATACATTGCCAAAATCCAATTGTTTCAAGGCGAACAATAAGGAAGAAGAGTTGACCAGAGACTTTCTTGGTGTGGGAAGTCCTGACGACCAACAACAACTACATCATCATCACTTCCCATCAAGCGTGCCATTGACGGTGAACCATAATGCTCCCAAGTTGGCTGCAACCATTGTAGGCAAGGAAGCAACCGTAGGTACGGCGTCAGATTCTGAAAATACTCGGTTTTGTTGATGTACAATGTAATTCCAGGCTTTCTTTAGGAAAAATCTAAAATAATAACTCACATGAAGTCTTTAGAAAAGTTCACAAAATATTATGTACGTGGAAGTGTATTGTTTAAACAAGAGTCCGGTGTTTGTATACTATTAATTTGCTCTGATTTCAGACACGAGACAAGACAACGAACATGCATAGTGAAAACTAACCATGTATGTATCTGATCATGCATGAAATTCCGAATACATTTTTTTCTGTATAAACGCATTTTTTTATATCTAATTTTAATCATGATCATGACTGATAACAGTAACACGCATCTCATCTCATGAAGTTTCCAAATTAATGCCAAAAATATTGCATTTATTTTGAGTAAACAAAAAATTTAATCAACAATGTTATTTAAGTATATACAGTAGTTTTTGTTTCGCTAACATATACGAGAATCTGGCTATGTATGTATAGTATGATCATTTAAGCATACCATATCTAGAGACAAACGAGATCATATTAATTAACAAAAACAAAATTCACTCGCACAAAAATGGAAATAGAAAAAAACAAATGGAGTTGATTAACACAAAATCACATGAAAACCAAGAGAAAAATATCACCCACATGGCAGGAAATCATGAGTAATAATACTTATCATCACAAATAAAACCATCCGAGTAATGCGCTCATGAAGCAAAACGACACCGCATCACGCAGAGAACCAACGTTACGTGAAGCAAACGAAGCATCCGCCGGAGTATCATCACCGGAACTATCACTGTCTTCCTTCTTCTTCTTTGATTTCGAGACTGACGGAGCCGGAGCCGGAGCAGGTGGGCGAGGATCGAAAACTTGCTGTGGAAGCAAAACTTTATCCACCTGGTAAACAGCGAGTTGTCCATCGCTGTAGACATTACCGGAGACGGTGGTGTTGGTTACACCGGTCGTGATATTTACGGTATTGCCACTGGTGGTAACGTTAAGTGGAAAATGTCCATCGGCAGAGTCACCGGCCTGAGTCCGTAGAGGGTTACTTATTGTTTGGAAGTTAGAGGAAGAAACGTAACTTGGTATGACATGAAACTGAATAAGCTCTACTTGTTGCTCGTCGGTTAAGGAATTTAGGGTTCCGGCTTTGAGACCGGAGAACGAGGAATCACTCGGTGCGAAGATAGTGATTCCATTGTCGGAGTTCTTTAGTTGGCCGTAGAGTTGGTTAGCAACTCCGGTGGATTTGAGGAGTCGGATGAAGACGGTGAATTGACCAGCTTTCTCTAGGATTTTGGTGACGTTTGTGGGTCCTGGTGGTGTCGGAGCGACGGCTGGAGAGGGCTGAGATAGGGTTCCGGGAGTGGTGGTGAGTAGGACGAGGACGGTGAAGAGGAGAATGATGAGAGAATGTTCCATGGCTTTGTTTTTAAGAATGTTGATATTTTGTTTGTGTGAGATATGGAGTTTATATGAAGAGTAAGGGGTTATATTGAAATTGGGGTATTGATTGGTTAAGAGGTCAACATTTTTACAACTAAGTTGATTGTTAATAACCCATGACGATTTTTTTTTTTTTTTTTTTTGTGAAATTTCCATGACATCTTATCACATGAATTGCTTTACCTCCAGACAAAATTATTGGATGTATATAGCCTTTATGCCGCTGATAAGCAAAGGGGTAATTGCTTTTTTTTTTTTTTTTTTTTTTGGTTTTAATGTTGATTGTTTAGTTGTATTTTTGTTTAGTGTAATGGTTTTAGATTTAGCAGTTATAGCTGTAAAAAAAAGAGTAATTAATCAGGTTCTAATTGATAACAATTGAACAAATAGAGCTAATAATTAAAGTGTATAAAATATTATCAGTAGTTGGTATGACTGTGATAATGTATATTACACACTGTGTGTGTGTGCAAAAACTAAAAAGAAAAATCATTACTTTGTTTGTAATTATCAAATCCTGTGTATGGAACGGTGGGAGGAATAATGGAGAATGTGGTGTATGATAATGGAAGGAGCAACTTGCAACTTTGCTTGAAAATTAAGGAAAAGCAAAACAAAAAATTGATTTGTGGTGGGCTCTCTTTAATTTTTAGCATATTTCACGTAAGTGAACTTATAATTTTTGCCTAAAATATGTAATATAAATACAGTTTGTATTAGTCTTATTGTTGTGTAACACAGGGGATTTACGCCCAAATCAATAAATGAAAAAAGGACAACATAATTTCTAGAGTTCACTTGTTTTCATAGAAGCATAACAGAGGATTTAATTAACTTTTATTTATATCAAAATGAAAAAGAAGAATTATATCAAAATAAAAATAAAACTATAACGGATTAAATATTGTTTCGAAGACATTTTAACGCCCAAATCAGTAAATTGATCGAATATAATTAGATTTGTCTGCATGTGAAATACATAGGAATTGATCGAAAGATTCCCATTAAATTAAGGAAACAGTTTCTCAAGCCGTGAATAACTTTCATTTTACATTTTGTTTTTTTTTTTTAAAAAGGAAACTTTCATTTGCCTTTTTAGTGAGACAGTTTTCATTTACTTTTGCCATTTCTCTTTTCGAATTCCACTTTCCACACTATACATTATACATGTCAGCATATCATTGTAATTTTAAAATATTTATAAAAATTGTACTTTGAATTGAACAAATTATAAATATTTTATGACAAAAATTATCAAAAAAATTAAGTTCATTTTTAAATCGTAATGAACATAAGTTTGTAATTGACAAACTACTTGAAGGGGAGTGAGATTTGTGAAGGTAGGTGTGAATTGGTTTTGTAAGTGTAAGTGGGGTATTAATGAAAACAACCTTATCATCCTACTATGATGTTTATGCTTTTATCAGATTTGATTTTGATTGACATCCTCAAATCTGGTTACTATAGCTCTATTTTCTTGTTGATAAATAAAAATGATGGCTCATTGGATTACTAATTAGAGATTTGAAAAAGAATTTAATTGAAACTAAAAGATAAAAACGGAAAGTAGAATAAATAGATAGACCTCACAACCACTTTTTCGTGTCATTTCCATTCGATCTTAGAAAAGTATTTACGTGTTTCTGGTCCAAAACCAATAAAATCTTGTGTAGAGGTTAATTTTCCAAAAATTTCTGTGATAGACTGATAGTTAAGCAGATTACATATTTCTGTTATCTTGACTTAATATAAATACTTTTTTTTTTTTTTTAATTGCATTTTTTCTTAACCGGGGACATTACATATTTGATTAAACCAAGAAGAAAGTGTAAACACTAATCAGCCATTTTCTCCCTTACCCTAAATATCAGCCGTATAATATGCTCATTCCATTTGCATTCCCTCCAAAAAGAAAAAAACTTCATTGCTCTTGTTTATATTTCACTCTCAACAAAACCAAAAACGGCAATGTATTCTTGAATAAATCTCCTCTGATAACCAAAAAAGCCCGATTTTCCGAGATGAATACTCTAGAAGAAGTAGGTGAATTCACTCAAATCTTCGACGCTTTGATGAGTCTAATGAGGAAATTTTTATTCAGAGTTCTATGCGTGGGTCCAATCCCTACTAACATTTCATTCATCATGGATGGAAACCGCAGGTTCGCCAAGAAACACAATCTTAAAGGCCTAGACGCAGGACATAGAGCCGGTTTCATATCCGTGAAATATATTCTTCAATACTGCAAAGAGATTGGTGTACCGTACGTGACACTCTACGCGTTTGGTATGGATAATTTCAAGAGAGGACCTGAAGAAGTCAAGTGTGTCATGGATCTAATGCTTGAGAAAGTCGAGCTTGCGATCCATCAAGCTGTCTCCGGGAATCTAAAGGGGGTGAGAATAATCTTTGCCGGTGATTTAAATTCGTTAAACGAGCGTTTTAGAGCTGCGGCGCAGAAACTGATGGAGCTAACGGAGGAGAATAGAGATCTGATTGTGGTGGTTTGCGTTGCTTACAGCACAAATCTCGAGATTGTTCACGCTGTTCGAAAATCTTGTGTTAAAAAGTGTAAAAATGGAGATGGTGCTGTAGTTTTGGAGGTGAGTGATGTTGAAGGATGTATGTATACATCGGCTGTGCCAGATCCGGATCTTGTTATCAGAACCGGAGGAGGAGATCGGCTGAGTAACTTCATGACGTGGCAAACTTCGAGGTCTCTTCTTCACAGAACGGAGGCTCTTTGGCCGGAGTTAGGACTCTGGCATTTGGTTTGGGCCATTCTGAAATTCCAAAGAATGCAAGATTGCTTGCAGAAGAAGAAAAAGCTCGATTAAATAGTTTCTAAGTTAAACCCTAGAACGAACTTTTACCCTTTATTATGTTTGATTATGTGTTTCTCGCCGACAATAAACTATGAATCGAAACGAAAAAGCACAAGAAAATCATTTTTATTATGTATTGGATCTAAATGACAAACACGAAGGCACAAAAACATCGATAATCGTTGGTTTTAACGATGCTAAAACACTACAATTAGAGGGTTAATCTAAACACAATTTGGTAAACAAAAAGCAAACAAATCTTTAAAGATTTAGTACTTGGCCATCTAAGAACCTAAAGGCAATCTCAGTCACCTGCCAAATAACTTTTAAAAAATTGTTCTTCGAGAGAATCTTCTAGCTAGATTCATCTAGAGGTTTACTTCTGTCTTGTTGAGGAGAACAGCTGATTCTTCCATTTGCCAGATTTCTTGGCTGGTTTGGGATTTGAGTCCAAATTTCTTGCAGTGGGTTTTCAGCTTGAAGGTGCAGAAAGAGAATTGATGTTACAGATTTTAGGTTCAAAACAGTTCAAATAGTCTTTCTGCTATCACGGTGAGCAATATCATAGGCGTTTCAACTGATACCACTCTGAAATTTGTGAGTAAACTCGTGGATTGGAGCTCACAAGACGGTAAAATCTTGTTACGCTTTATTGCAAACACGACAACCATTTTTGTGTGTCATTGCATTCGAACTTAGAATAGTAGAAGAGTCTTTACGTGTTTAATAATCTGTCCCATAACATATTTCTGTAATCTTTTTTTAAAACTAAATTTAAAAGTAATAATTTAAAAGTGGTTATAGATAATTAGATACAGAAGTATTTTTTTTTAATTTAAATATAATCCTTAATTAAAAAGAAATAACATATTTGATTAAACCAAGAAGAAAGCCATCAATCACTAAATCACCCATTTTCTCCCTCCCCCTAAAAATCAGCCGTATCATCATATGATCATTCCATTTGCATTCCCTCAAAAAAACAAAAAAAAAAAACTCCATTCTTAATTTTTGTTTATATTCCGTCCACTCTCAACAAAACCGAAAACACCAAAGTTCTTGAATTCTCTCCGATAACCATAATAAAATCCCGTTTTTCTGATATGAATACCCGAGAAGAAGTAGGCGAATTCACTCAAATCTTCAACGCTTTAATGAGTCTAATGAGGACATTTATATTCAAAGTTCTACGCGTCGGTCCAATCCCTACTAACATTTCATTCATCATGGATGGAAACCGCAGGTTCGCCAAGAAACGCAATCTTGAAGGCTTAGACGCAGGACACAGAGCCGGTTTCATATCCGTGAAATATATTCTTCAATACTGCAAAGAGATTGGTGTACCGTACGTCACACTCTACGCCTTTGGTATGGACAATTTCAAGAGAGGACCTGAAGAAGTCAAGTGTGTCATGGATCTAATGCTGGAGAAAGTCGAGCTCACGATTGATCAAGCTGTATCCGGGAATATGAACGGCGTGAGAATTATCTTTGCCGGTGATTTAAATTCGTTAAACGAGCGTTTTAGAGCTGCGACGCAGAAACTGATGAAGCTTACGGAGGAGAATAGAGATCTGATTGTTGTGGTTTGCGTTGCTTACAGCACAAGTGTCGAGATTGTTCATGCTGTTCGAGATTCTTGCGTTAGAAAGAGTAAAATTGGAGATGGTTCTGTAGCTTTGGAGTTGAGTGATATTGAAGAGTGTATGTATACATCCGTCGTGCCGGTTCCGGATCTTGTGATAAGAACCGGAGGAGGAGATCGGCTGAGTAACTTCATGACGTGGCAAACTTCTAAGTCACTTCTTCACAGAACGGAGGCTCTTTGGCCGGAGTTAGGGCTCTGGCATTTGGTTTGGGCCATTCTGAAATTCCAGAGAATGCAAGATTACTTGCAGAAGAAGAAGAAGTTCCACTAAATAGTTTCTAAGTTAAACCCTAGAAAGAAAAATGTTAAACCCTAGAATGAACTTTAACCCTTACGTTTGATTACAGGTTTCTTGTGGTGTAAGAAACAAAGAACCGAAACTGTGAAAACACAAGAAAATCCTTTTTATTATGTATGTGATATAAATAACAAGCACAAAGACATGAAACATCGATAATATTTCAAATTAACGATGCTAAAACACTAAAATTAGAGGCTTAATTTAAAGATAGTGTGGTAAATTAAACAAAAACAAATAAATCCCTATATTCTATCATTAAATCTTTAAAGATTTTAGTACTTAGCCACTCCAGGACCAGGTTTGCCTTGGAACCTGCAGCCATTACAGAGAGGCGAGAACAGAGAAGGAGTTTGGTACTTGTCTTTTCCACCCATCAGAGGCATCGGGACTCCGGTCTTAACCGGACTAACGTATCCAGGCCGATATGTTTTCCCCAAAACGCCCTCGACGAGATCACTCAGGTTAAAGAACTTAAACTGAGTCTCTAGGTGAGCAAAAACATCATCTTTAGGAAGCTGATAGTTATGAACTCTATCTTCTTCTTTCCCAATTGGTCTAAGCTGAATATCCATCTGAAAAATCCCAGATACCGTGACTCTCACGTTATTCCTCTCATCTGTTCTCTCAACAACAACTTCCCTTTCTTCAAGATCAATTCTCCACTCTGCTTCACCTCCGGTAGGAACTTCAACTTCTTCTCCGTTCCATCTCACCACGAGAGAGTCTACAGAATCGTCCCAAGACGAAACCTTCTTGGCTGCGATGAAAAGGTTGTGGTTATCGAACATCACTGCGAAGGCTTGAACCCATGTGAAGTCTCTTGTTCTACCAGCAGGTCTTGTACCAATGAAATGTGCATTGATTTGAAGATTCTCGTCAGAGACGATGGCGAAGTTTCCATCTTTGTTTCCGTGGAAGTAGAACATCACTCCATCTCCTCCCACAAATCTTGGGTCGTAACACAAAGATCCATACCCATTACAGTTTGCTTTCCTCCCTATTCAAGAACAAAAATCAACCAAAGATTAATAAGTGTGTTAGAAATCTCACATTGACACATGTTACAAACTTAATAAAAAATATGAAAAATACATTTTGGAGCTTTGAAAATGTTTCAAAATGTTGAGATTTGGAAATTACATTTGCAAGTGACTTCACATTTGCTGCTACAATCGACGAAACAAGCTTTTTTCTTCTTGTTCATCTTCGGTTTCCTCTCGGGGCATTCCTTAGGACAAGTGAGGATCTTTTGGTTACAAGATCCTCTCGCCAAGCATTGAACTCGCTCTTGACCCGAGCCAAGTGGATACAAAACCTTGTAGTTCGTTGAAGCTGCATCATAAGCACCTTTCTTCCCTTTCTCGGTAGCAGAAACCGCGAAAACAGAGACAAGAACTATAATAGTCACAAGAACCCGCGACATTTTGTTTGTGGTTTTGAAAGAAACAGTGGTTTGTTGTATATTTCTGAACGTGAGTGTTGATTTGATAGAAGTGGAGGGAGTGTTCTTATAGACCAGAGAGGCTTGAAGTAAGCAGGGGAGACCGGCTTAATTGACGGTCCAGAGTTGATCAAAATCACATGAAGAATCGAAGACCGTGTCAGAAACAGCTTCCACTTTTGTTTATTAAATTCTTTTGGGAGAACCACCACTTGATTTCAAATTCAAGTCCAAGAATTGAGTATTTAACTAAAAATGAAAACTTACATTTCTTAATAGGGAAAAGTCAGCCTATAGAAAAAAAAAAAATAGAGATATAAATCATTAACCACGAATCAACTCATCAAATTTCCATTGAAACGACAATTTATCATATTCACAATGACCAGTCCTAATTATCCACAATTTTTGAATACTTTATACAAGAAAGCCTCTGAAAACTTAAGTCCGCAAGTTCTAATATGAGTATTATTACAGTTTACGAGGCATTGCGAAAAACTAACTAAAATTATCAAAGAATTATTAAGCTAGGTTCTTATCAAAAAAAATATATTCCCTCCGTTTCAATTTGGTTGTCGTTGTACGATTTAAATTTTGTTTCATAATAGTTGTCGTTTTAGGTTTTCAATGCAAATGTTTGGTGAAAAGTCCAGTTTTATCCTTATTGTTTTAATGTTTTAGCCAATGAAATTTTTTATAAAATATATTAATAAAGGGTAAAACAGAAAGTTAATGTTTTTCTTAATTTGTGTGAAAAAACCTTAAACGACAATTAAAACGAAACGGAGGGAGTATATATTAATTCAGCTAGGTTAAGTCTTTACTTATTATGTTTTCCTGTCTATGGAACGCTGCTTGATCATAAAAAAATTAGAGAGAAAATAGCTAAATGTTAGGGAAGCACACTATGTTTCACGTAACATAATAAGTCAACCCAAACGAAAATGATTAACGAATTACGTACCATACTTTAGATTACAAAATTTAAAATTTGTTAGATACGAGAATAGCTATATATTTTACGTCAAAAACATAACTGTATATTTCAACAATTTTAGCTAGTTGATCTAGGACCTTGAACAAAAAAAATGATCTAGGACATTATTAAAAATATTACTAATATCTACAATAATGTTATATACTAATGATAAATTCAACTTTTTCACATTATCTCTGCGGCGCCGTGGAGTATGTTTTCCACAATATCTATTCGTAGATTAAAGGATGAAAAGCTAATGAGAGCCATTGATCACGGATCTAGGCACTGTATTTTTAATACTATTAAAAATAATAATCAAACCACGAGTGGTTGAACTAACTCTAATCATCATTCGTGGAGTTGACATTTGTATATATGTTAATTTCATTTTTTGAGTAGCTTGTATTGAAGTCATGTACTCATGTGATGTGTAACATAATTTAATTTCCTTGGATCACATGAACTATGCCTAGAAAGTTGCAAACTTTTATTTTGTGCATTAATTTATTTGATTATTATTTAAATATGATTTTTGCTATTGGTTTATAAGTTTTGGTGAAAAGAGTGCTCTAGAAGCATCTGCAGTTGTTCTTCAGAACCCCAAAGAAACACTTGCTTTCCGAGTGTAATACATACAAAATACTGGAACCAAGAAACTTAATGTCAGATCCAAATACATGAATATACACACAAGTACAGTTTTATTTTTTTAATTGTTAGATAAACGTATAGGTACAGAAAATACAACAAAGGAAACAATAAGAAATCAAGGGGTTGCTTCTGACATTTCTTAAACCCTCACAAACGGGCCAAATATTATCTTCTTGGCTCTTATTACATCACTTTTATGAATATAAAATATTTCCAGAAATAAAACAGTAACAAATACGAAATTTCCATGAATTTATTCAAAAATCAAAGAAGTTTCCATCTTTCTCCTTCTCCACATTAGATGTCAGCAGAAAGTGATTCTTCTTGAGGCTTGAACCTGCAGAGTCTGCAAGTGGGTGAGAACAGAGAAGGCGTTTGGTATTTGTCTTCTCCTCCCAATACAGGCATTGGGACTCCAGTCTTGGCAGAGCTGACGTAATCAGGACGGTAGGTTTTCCCCAAAACACCCTCAACGAGCTCACTTAGGTCTAAGAACTTGAACTGAGTCTCAAGATGAGCAAAAGCGTCATCCTGCGGCAATTGGTAGTTGTGAACTCTGTTCTCTTCTTTCCCTATAGGTCTCACTCTGATGTCCATCTGAACAAGACCAGAGACAAGTACTCTTACGCTGTTTCTCTCGTCAGTTCTTTCGATGATGATCTCTCTCTTTTGTCCCGAAATTTCCCTCCATTCGGATTGTTCGTCTTCAGGGAGGGTGATGAGTTCTCCATCGTATCTGATGGTAAAGGCGTCAGATGTTTCATCCCATTGGTTCACTCTATTGGCTGTGATCACGAGCTTGTGGTTTTCGAACATAACATTTAAGGCTTGAACCCATGTGAAGTCTCTGGTTCTGCCAACGGGTCTTGTACCGATGAAGTGAGCGTTGATCTGGAGATTGTTGTCTGAAACAATCGCAAAGTTTCCACCTTTGGATCCGTGGAAATAGAACATCACACCGTCTCCTCCGACAAATCGAGGGTCGTAGCACAAAGATCCATAGCCATTGCAGTTCGTTTTTCTCCCTGAAAGAGAGAAGAAATCCGGAATTAGTTCAAGTTACTTGGGCTAGAAGATATCAATTCCTTGTACCCCAACTAATCAATCCATGACTGAAATCTATGTTCATACGTATGCCAGAAGCAAACTGAATCTAAACAAAAGAGACCAATTGAATAGAATGTACTTACATTTGCAGGTAGCTTCACATTTGTTAGTGCAGTCAATGAAGCAACCTTTGGTGTTCTTGTTCTTCGTGGGCTTCCTCTTGGGACACTCACCAGGGCAAACAAGAGTCTTGTAATAACATGATCCCCGACCCTGGCACATGGCCTGCTCTTGTCCTGTAGGCAACGGTGATAATATTCTGTATCTCGCAGCTGCTTCACTCTCCTCCTTGTCTTTCTTCTCCTTCTCCTTCCTCTCTTTCTCCTTCTTCTCCTTCTCCTTCCTTTCCTTATCCTTCTTTTCCTTTTCCAGTTTATCCTTCCTCTCTTTTTCCTTCCTTTCCTTATCCTTCTTTTCCTTTTCCTCTTTCTCCTTCTTCTCCTTTTCCTTCCTTTCCTTATCCTTCTTTTCTTTTTCCTCCTTATCCTTTTTGTCCTTCTCCTTCTTGTCCTTGGCCGCCTTCTCCTTGTCCTTCTTCTCCTGGTCTTTGTCCTTTGGACCGTTACCGTTACTTTTGCCTTTGCCATCATCTCCTTTACCCTTGTCTACTTGTACCTCGTTCCCCTTGCCGTTTTTACCGTTGCCTTTGCCACCATCTCTCTCTGCAATGACAATATCGGTCAAGAGAAGCAATGCAATGAGCGCGACAAGCACATATGACTGTCTGCGCTCCATCTCTAGAGTTCAAGTCTGCTTCTTTAATTAGCTTCTTCTTCTTCTTCTTCTTCTTTTTTTTTCAAAATGTTTATGTGTTTTTGGTGTGGTGAAATGTTGTTGCAGAAGAAGGGATTATATAGAGTGGAGAAAAATTGAGTTGACTTATTAAAACCCCATATGATAATATCCCTTGCTTCATCTTAAGAAAGAAGCCGACTCTTTGAGTTCATCTCAAGTCGTCTCCATTGATTTCTTAACAAAAACCTAGCT